AACAATGATGCAGTGAGTCCCTGGCCTCCTGTGTGATACAGAGGTCATGGATTGTATCCCTCGAGTGGACTTCATTGCCTCGACGCAACAATTATTTTTGCGGACCCACAACGCATGTGACGTCTACTATCTAGATAATGTACCCATGGTCCACTGCTCGCACAAATGCCGAGCTCTAGGCTACACTGCTATTGCCTCATGTAATAAATGTTATAGAGCAATTTTCATAAGTGGGGAAGAAAAATTGTCTTAGCATGCCTAGGTTTGCGCAACATGATTCCCTATCTAAAGATGTTGTCGGTTTTTTGTAGGTTTGGATGTACCAACTTAGGGACTGTAGGATATCCCCAAAAATATGAAGTAGTTCCTTTTTTGAAGGAATTCTACCAAACCAACTCCAAAAAATACTAGGAGTAAGGAACAAAAATAAAGGTATAATCCACTTAGTTCCAATACGATTGAATAGATGCCTATAGGAATTTTAGAGAACAATAATCCAAACTACATCGACCATATGTCAACTAAACAAATAGAGACATCCAAAAAAAATCATAGATGTTTGTAAGTATTGTATGGTTTGCAATTCACTTGATGCACAACATAATAAGAACGAAGAATACATTTTAGATCATATTACCTGTTCAAGTTGGATGTGTTCCCCTTCATGTTTTACATTAATAACAGGATATCCTGGTTCCTTCGTCCAAGGAGTCATCAAATCTCTCAACGGTTCACCAGTTTCCTCTTCAATCACCTTCCATAGGTCCTCCGTTTTAGCATTCGAGTAGGCAAATTTCTTTACATACGAAGCCAATGCTTTCTGCAATATTTTCTCAAGTTCAGTATAGAATTGTTAAGTATGAGAAAATTTTGCAGACCCAACGAACATAAAAAAACAAAAGAAAGAGAGCCAACAACACAAAATACATGAAACGCAATCAATTATGCCCACATATAAAGTTATTCATCTTTACTGTACGAGACTAAGGAAATATAAATGGTCTTTGAAACTTTCAGGCGAAAACATGTTGAACTGGAGAATTTAAGGAATTGCTTTGTACACTTTTGAATAATATTATGAAATGTATTGTATCAACATTCGAGACCTGGAAACGCTTTGCCCCAAGGTAACTTCGTAGCATGCGAAGAACAGAAGCACCTTTAAAATATATGATGTCATAAAAAATGCCATCGATTTCATTGGTATGGTGTATTTCAACCTGGCGTATGGAAGAATAAAAATGAATACATGAAAGGAATTACATATCAAGATTTAAATAAGTATGCAGCCAATTTAATCTATGTTGATGAAATTATTAAGACAACTGATGTCTAACGTAGTATATGAAACTAAAGGAGTTTTAGTATTACCTTCCATATTTGACAAAACTAGACATACAAAGGGAAAGCATGATAAAAAAATTAAACAATAGATTTGTATAGATTACATAGTGAGCGATACCCCCCCCTCACACACACGGTAATGTACTCGGTTGTGTGCTTCCCTTCGGGAATGAAATCGTAGACTGCATTCAAAAAAATATTGAAAAATCGTATTTTCTTACTGACATCTTGGAAACTATTTTTTTAATAAAATACATTACATATGAGTGTTTTAAGCACCCATTGATTATATAAAACACAAGTGTTTAGAAACAAGACATCAATACATTGAAGATATATTGTTTAAAGAATCTACTGGTGTGTATACTCCCTCCCTTCCGGGATGGAGGTCTAAAATCTATGATCTCATTAGACACAGTGGATGGTGAGTGGAGGACGTATCTTGTAGTTCGCCAAACTACTCAAACTTTAATCTGCATTTACTATGATGTATGCATGGGTGGCCAGTAAATGAGTAGGAATTGTTAAATGCCTTGGTCGATTTCCTTTTAATCCTTGAATACATCAATTTTAAGTTCCTCGAAATGTGAAGATGTGGCGGAAATAAGTAAATGTAGGACTTACAAAATGGAAATGCCAAGAAAATGAGATAGGCGCAATAAACTGGAATGGAGGGAGTAATTAGAAAGAACTTTTGTCCAACAATCTCCGTGTTATAATACTACACAAACCAACAATCCCTTGTAGCCCACAAGTTTTGTTCCACCCAACTCCTTACATCTATTGGATCAACCCAAAACACTGTATGGTGTTCTTCTTGTGAATACTATCACATGATAAATCAAACACATAGCTGCAAAGTTGAGCCTTTATTGCTCAAATTCTCTAGTGGTCTTTATTAATATTTTTTACCCTTTTAATGATTAGTAAAAATGTATGATCTCTTCGAAGAAAAAATGGACATGAGAAGAGAGATAAACCGCAAGAGGGATGGTCAATTGTTCTTGTGCCATTCAACGTGGAATGAGGTTTATTCTAGTGGTGAGAAGCATGTTACCTCCACCACGAGAATAGCCAGTCTTTCAGGCCTACTTTCAGACAGTGGAGAAATGGTTTTGTCCATGACATTTCCCTTTTGGCTCACAGAATCAAGTCAAAACACAGGGAGGCACTGCTTAAATGGATTGATTTCCTTCCTCCTTGAGAGGTGACATGTATAGTTAGATTTTCTTTCTCTTTTAGGTTAGATTGTACATAGTTTTCTTTTATCTTCTTTTGTTTTGTTCCTTTTCTTAAGGAACCTTTCTATGTACTTGCTGTTCTTGATTTTAATAAAATGATGTGGGGTGTAAGCCCTGCAGTCTCCAGTCAAAAAAAAGAATAGCCAGTCTGGCACCTTAGCATGGCTATGATATCCAACTAGGGCTAGATGCCATTTATGATTCACCTCCACACCTCAACTCTGGAGCATCATTAGTATACAAGATCGTTGAAAGAAGAACAATTGAAATAGTGATCTATCCTTGCTAGACAATGAAATGTCTGGACATGATGCCATATATGTGAGTACCAAAAGCAGATATGCCGGAAAACCATCATTGTAAGGGGTTGTCAACCATCCAAGACAAAACAGTCTATAGTAATTTTGTCATGCACTACCAAGCATCGTCTATGTTTCACATACTCACCGAGCTATGGGGAATATGTGGGGCTTCGTGATGCGTAGATATAAGGTAGGAGGGTGATACAAGTGATTACTCTATTCTGCCAATTTATTCGACACTACCGTGGTGAGATCAAGCTAAACACGAGAGGTGGGAACAAGGGGTTATGGCAATTAAAAAAAGAGGCAATACAGAAAGGTGTATCCTGATGGCGAAGCATACGCCCGCTGGAGTACATCCCGAGCGGGGATGTGTGTAAGTAGTAGCATTGCATTTTAGTATCGTTTGAGAACACACAATGTTCCTTCCATTTTATTTTGGGACATGAGGTGTACTTTAAATTTAAAAAGCACACTCGTGGTGTTCTTTTGAATGACCTACCAAGTGAAATTCATAATCTAGACGCGCTAGACCAGGTTTTGCCGCATGTCTTATTTTTTCACTCGCATTCAATTGGATGAATACATAGCAAGTTGATGCATGCATGTTATATGACTATACTGATGGATGGATCCGAATTACCTAATACAATCTTCATACAAATTTTCAACTAAAAAAATCCTTGTCATTTTTGGTGCTCTAAAATGAGAAGTTCCTTATTATGTTTGCTAATATTTTTTCTACATGGATAGTACTGAAAATTTGCTCATATTGCATGGAGTTTTCAAGAGTCAACCTTGAATCAACCAATGATATTGTAGGGTTGTCAGATTAAAATACTATATAAAAATGATGATCATTTCCTATTGTCAAAATAAAAAATCACAAGATTCTTATATTTTAACAATTATATAGTTACACCATAGATTGTATGGGTGGACACATTACTCGATGCCATATAAAGTTCATGACAACTAAATGACATGACATGTCGTGACACATTAATCAGCAATGTGATTACCTCGATTGGTTGAGATCCCGTCACGGAATCCAATCTAAGAGTTCGAATTGTGCCCTCAAGAAATGCCATCCAAATATTCCACTGAGGAAAAAAAGTATCTACTGCTTCATAGCTCATCTGTTAAAAACTAGTGCTTTCAGCATGCATAAATAACTTGGTATTTAATTCGTGATATTTTAATCATCAACTTACCCATGTAGCAAATCCCTCGCTTAGCCATATGTTATTCCACCATTCCATGGTTACAAGATTGCCACACCATTGATGAGCTAATTCATGTGCCACAGAAACTGCAATCTAAACGTAATAGATGTTTAGATCAATGAACAAAGGATATCTTTACATTACTACAATCATCAAGAAAAAGGTATAATATTCAAATGTTATCATTAGTTAAAAATTGTGATTCCCTTGTACATGAATTAAGAAGGGTAACATACCATAATTTTTGAAATCATCAATAGTAACTTATGACAAGAAAGGTCAAAAATAACTTTATGAATTACGGTCCTTACTCGACGTAGTTTGGTGGATGTTGTAGACGTCTCATCCAAAAGAAGACCTCCCTCTCCGAATGTGACCAATCCAAAGTTTTCCAAGCCCCCGGGAAAGTCAGGGATTCCAATCATGTCCAGCTTAGGGAGTGCATAAGGAGTGTCAAAGTAACTTACACATGGAGGAAATAAACACCTGGTTAGCGCTTCTCTACGATAACAATCATATCTAGAGACACTTCATTACAATCAGGAGCATACCCATGTTAATTTACTAGGTGCACATGACAAATTGTGCAAGATGTTTTGCTTGGTAATTTTGTATATAGTATAATGTGAGACGCATATTTTTTTTAGAAAATATATATGATTTTACACTAGGACACTAGGACACTTGGACATTGACTTATGTTCATATTTTTTAACTAGTTTAATTAACTGCAAGGGAAGGATATGATCTTACTCATTATAGAGATCCAATGACTTCACTCCAATTTCCAATGCAAACTGTCCCTGTTTAGTCTTGCCAACTTCAGTGTACACGCGGACTTTGGGGCCTAAAAAATTAGAATGGTGGAAAGTAGTAGAAGAATCCAATCACATTTGAATGTATGATGTGAATGCGATAACAAAGGTGGATTTGATACCCTGTGATGTCACACCCTCTACAAACTCAAAAAGACCAACAACCATGGCAACTAAATAAGTTGACATGAGGGGTGATTCCTCAAAATGGACATTCTTGATAGAACCATCAACCGTCTCACCAAGTACAGGCGTGTTGGATAGAGCTACCAAGTCAGAATGAACTTCTAAACTTAGTTTGAACTTCGCCTGAAAATTTCAAATATCATGAGAAAAACGATAGAATGCTTAAATGACCTCATTGAGGCCCCTGGTGCACACATATGAGAGGAACATTAAGACTTCTGATAAGGTCATAAGACACATTATGACCTTATGAGTGCACCGATAATGATGCTCAAGGAATAAAAATCATAGACTAGGCCTCTAGAGAATATATAAATCTTACTATGATACTCACCTTGAAATCAGGTTCATCCCAACAGGGGAAACACCGCCGTGCATGCACGGACTCAAACACTGTGTATGCCATGTATGCCATCTCCCCCTTATACTGGTATTTACTGAAAATACGAAATACAATAGTATTAACTGTACACACATATTTCCCAAATGCTAGTGTCTTCTGTAGTTTCAGCAGTGATCACTAGCTAGTGAATTTGGTGTCCTAAAAGGTTTTGAGCATAGGTCAAATAGATCATGTGCTCTCTCTCATATTCTATATAGAATGATCTATCGATATACATTATTAAATCTAGGTGGATTTTCTGACCATTAGGTACACATTGAGTGTGTGCTTATTTTTTTCAATCTATGCTATGTCTGGTGGTTACAGATGACAACTTTTTATACATGTTATACTTCTTTCTACAGCATGCCTCACTATTTTTTAGATATCTCACCCTCTTTACGTGTCTTACTAGTTTTTCTACATGTCACGCTTACTCATTTCACCTAGCTTACTACTTTTTGTGCATGTTGTACTAGTTGTATGCATGCTTAAAGTTTGTCTTTCCCCTTGTGTGTAGTGAAGCTATTCTAATCCTCAGAATATAATAGTGCTATCCTATACACGGAAATACATATTAACATAGATGCACACACCCGTGAGGTTGCATGCAAAGAGTAACTCATGTTGATTCCTTTGTGTCATTATATTTTTTTCATACTCTTAGTATCACTTGCTAAGCATTACACTTTCATGCATGAACTATTCTAACAATATTGGAAAAATTAAACAAGAAAATGCAAGAAGAGACTCATACCCTCTCTGAAATCCCCTCATCTGATCACTAAGTGTGCCATTGAAGTGCATCCTTAGCACACCTTCGCCTAGTGGAAGATCTTTACGAAACCCGAGTACCATAATCTGATCGTCCTTGAAGAACACCACGTCGGTTGGCGCCAAATGCTGCAATAACCAGGAATCTTGAAAGCAGTGAAGATGAGATTTATTATGTACTTTGAAGAAATAAGCAACTTTTGAGAGTAGATCGTTCAGTATAGGTCGACACATCATTGTGTACCTTGAAGTGGATAGAAGCATGGTCAATTGTGAGTTCCACAACATTTAGCACAAGGAAACGAGTGGGTGCTAAAACAAAGACATTAATTGACACCACACCAGAAAATGTTGAGGAGACGAGGTTGGGGTGGAAATGGAGCTTATAGTGGGTTGGCATAGCAAAGCGCGGGAGTCGAAGCTTGCCACGGAATTGGTTAGGTGAGTCAGCTGCGATTGCTGGCGTGGGCATCGGGATGGCTATAGGCACACCAGAAATTCCTTCAAGATTTGCTCCCTGCATACATGTGGGAATAATACAAAAAGGCGAAGTAAGTATATGCACAATTGAGTAACTAACACAAAACCCCAAACATTTAATGTATTAGTAATGAGAAACCACAACTTTTTCTTGTTTGTATCATTAGCCCAAAATTTTCATTTCCAGAAGTGTTTGGTGATGTAGGCAAAGAAGAAGCAACGACGGGTACATGTTTTTTCAAAGAGCAGCTAATTCAAACATCCTTTCAGTGGAGATTCTAGGTAATTTCGGATTCGAACATTTATGACAAACTGCTATAAGGTTTAGAATTTGTGATAAACTGGGCCCAAGTTAGTTGTTTCATTGTTAATACTTGCCTAATATTTGAAGCACCGCCAAATTAGCTCCTCAATGTTTGACTTTATGCGAAATTTCATGAATTAATATTGGTTAAAAAATATAAGCAGGTAGGAATGATGTCAGAACTATCTATACTAATATATAAAAAGCACTAATGGAGCAGATCCAAAAAATCTCAAACATAGAACCAAATTGATCTAAAGGTCCAAATCGGTCCAACGTTGAGCACCAAGCACACACAAGTAACATCTTACCTAATATCAACGTGCACCTAATATCCTACCTAATACCAACATGCATTGTACACGGTTACTAGTAGATAGGAAATAATCCATCCGCATTGTTGTTTGGAAAATGGAAGGGTCCCGAAGGACCCCGATTCACATTAGAAGCATTCAAAAACAGCATACAAAAGGACTCCTTAGTAAGTAAAAAATTAGAGCCCGATGGAAACATTAGGGTATATCACCCTTGAAAACGAAACTATACTGTAATCCAGTAGACACAGGCACATTACACAAACAGGAGCCTTCAAAATGAAACTATGTTGTAATCCAGTCCTACACACAAGCTTCAACACAACCCCAAACAAGGATTTGGATTTTGTTTCCATTTTTATACCAGATCTGGGCGAAACGGGCGAAATTCTTCATTTTGGAAAATTCTGACTGAATAAAACAAATGAAAATTTGAAATTGAAAAGAAAAATGGCCCAAATTTGAATGAAAATTGACCAAAATTATGGCCAAGTTCGATGTAGGGGCCGCCGTCGCCAACTCAGTCGACGCCCAAATGTAGCCTAACCCTGGCCTCGATTCGCAGCATTGCCGCCGTCGACCAGGTGGCCGCGTACATGGGCGATGTCACAGCCGCGACCTACACCATACATGGGAAGGAGGAGTGCCTGAGGAGGTGGTATGCTGGAGGAGGAGGCTGGGCGCGCTTGCGTTGCCTGCAGCCGCCGCACAAAGGATTGACAGGACGAAAACATGAAAACTGCTAGGGTTGGATCTGGTTTATATTTGAGTCTTTATACCAAAGAGGTACGTGGGCTATTTTAGGATTTGGGTCGGGCTGGAAGTCTGGAAAAAGCAGAAATATTTGACAGGGCCCAGGCGAAATGGGCAAATTTTGGACGAAATTCGGAAATTCCAGAGGAAATCCAAATCCTCCTTTTCCCCAAACAAACTAAGTCTCCAGGGACATGACCATTTGGGGCGCAGGGTCTATAAGAAGAAACTATGGACGCGGTTGAACCCAGGAAACTGCATCCGTTTTGGTTTGGCGGCCACATCCATGGTGGTCGACCCATGGTCACCATTTCATCCAAGTACGTATTTAGCAACCAGTCCTCATGACTGGGGAAGTTGGTTGGCCTCTTGATTCGTCCCTGCCATCTCTTTCCTTCCTCCACCACAACGGTACAAGATGAATCTCGTTACCAGGAGGATGTGCCTCCACCACACAGGCACTAGCATAAGCTACCAACCAACAGTAGATGGACAGTTTGACGAATTGGTCACTCGATCTTATCCCCAAGAAAAACAAACAAAGGTGAACAGGGAGGACCTCGATCGGATACCACCACATACTAGCATACAGACTGTGATCCTACTCAACGATGGTGCCATGAATTCTACTCTAGAGAATTTTGCATAACTAAGTGGATCAAAATATGCTAAACTGACAGGTCTACGGAATATTAATTGGACCTGTTCGCCGCTGCAGGTGGCGATGATGAGGTATGTGAAGAGGAGGAATTGCAGCATCGCCGGCGCTGCAGCTCCGTCCGTTGGTGCCATGGAAGGACTATGCATGCTCAGATATATGCACAATACTGTAGCTTTTAGTTGTGCAATGGTAGCCTATAGCTAACTGGGCGACCCAGCACGGGAAAGCTAGCTGGCATATAAATAAATAGCACCGAAAGAAATATTGACCAAGTGAAGCGTAGAGTAAGACAAAGGTCAATTGATTATAATGATGACACACAGTACCATAAACAGCATACATTGACTGCCCCTGCTGGGAGCGTATAGTATGACAAAAACACCTCAGCTCAATTGATGACGGTTCGAGGTACCAGCATCCATTTCTTCCACAAGTATTTCCGGACAGAGAGAATAGAAGGGTAGAGTAAGACAAAAGAACAGCTCAACTCAATTGCTGATTCCGCAAGATATATAGTGCCATAAACATCAATTGATTAATTTCCATGATTCTTCCGTATCTCAAAAATTATTCAATTTCCTTCTACAGAACCATCAATACCAAGAGGTTAATTAATTTGGACGACGTACTCTTCCATATCTTGAAAATATTTTATTTCCTTGAGTGAAAGATATTATTCTATATCTCGAAAATAATTAATTGTATTCATTAATAAAAGATATAAGACACATATATTTCCCTATCAAAGAAGTACTATCAATTTCATGATTAAATGATACACCCCAGGTTTACGGTAGGGAGACCAATGGACGAGGGTGATGGAAGGCAATTGCAGCTCTCAAGATAGCGCTATCTAGATACATGCATTTTGGTGTGTAGATATAGGCGTATCTACACAAATCTGCGTCATTTGGATTCGAACGGAGTATTTATTTGCAATAGGAACAAGTATATCTAATATCTGTTAGGAAATATATGCCTGACGCCAAACTCCTTCATACGAAAGGATCATCCATTAATTCTTTCTTTCTTATAAAGGGGAAGCATCCCCATTAATTCAGCAGCTTAATACCCACTCCATCCCAGAATAAGTGTCTCAACTTTGTACTAAAGCTGAGACACTTATTTTGAGACGGAGGGAGTACCTCGTACTATAGTCTTCCATAAGATTGATAACCGCTCCTTAGATTATAACCCTTGTATGCATAAACAATCGAGAACAGTAATGGTGGTAGATATGTTTTATAGTCTAATAATTAATAGATCAATAGCGGAACCTGGATGCTCATATTGATTCTCACATATTCTACGAAGATCTTTAACGGTCGAACCGCAATGTCAACATATGTTATTCCCTTTGTCATCGGTATGTTACTTGACCGAAATTCGATCGTCAGTATCTTCATACCTAGTTCAATCTCGTTACAGGCAAGTCTCTTTACTCGTTCCGTAGTGCATCATCTCGTAACTAACTCACTAGTCACATTGCTTGCAAGGCTTCATATGATGTGCATTACCGAGAGGGCCCAGAGATACCTCTCTGATACTCGGAGTGACAAATCCTAATCTTGATCTATGCAAACCCAACAAACACCTTCGAAGAAACCTGTAAATCATCTTTATAATCAACCAGTCATGTTGTGACATTTGATAGCACACAAGGCATTCCTCCGGTGTCCAGGAGTTGCATAATCTTATAGCGGAGGAATATATATTTGACACAAAGAAAGCAGTAGCAATAAAACTAAACGATCGTTATGCTAAGCTAACGAATGGGTCTTGTTCATCACATCATTCCACTAATGATGTGATCCCGTTTATCAAATGACAACTCATGTCCATGGCTAGGAAACTTAACCATCTTTGATCAATGAGCTAGTCTAGTAGAGGCATACTAGGGACACAGTGTTTTGTCTATGCACTCACACATGTATCAAGTTTCCGGTTAATACAATTCTAGCATGAATAATAAACATTTATCATGAATAATGAAATATAAAATAACAACTTTATTATTGCCTCTAGGGCATATTTCCTTCAGTCTCCCACTTGCACTAGAGTCAATAATCTAGATTACATTGTAATGAATCTAACACCTAGATAAGTCTCCAACGTATCTATAATTTATGAAGTATTCATGCCATTATCATTCTTGGATGTTTTACAATCATTTTATAGCAACTTTATATCATTTTTTGGGACTAACCTATTGACCCAATGCCCAGTGCTAGTTGCTGTTTTTTGCTTGTTTTTACATCGCAGGAAATCAATATCAAACGGAGTCCAAACACCGCGTAACTTTTTGGAGATTTTTTTCTGGACCAAAAGGAACCCAATGGGCCTGAGCTGCACCTGGGGGGTGCCCCGAGGGGGCCACAACCCACCAAGGCGCACCAGGGCCCCCTGGCGCGCCCAGGTGGGTTGTGCCCACGTCGGTGGCCTCCCGCACCCCCTCTTTGCACTATAAATTCCCAAATATTGCGAAACCCTTCGGGGTTAACCTAGATCAGAAGTTCCGCCGCCGCAAGGTCTCTGTATCCGCGAAAACCAATCTAGACCCCATTCCGGCACCCTGCCGGAGGGGGGAATCATCTCCGGTGGCCATCTTCATCATCCCGGCGGCCACCACGATGAGGAGGGAGTAGTCCACCCTCGGGGCTGAGGGTTTGTACCAGTAGCTATGTGTTTGATCTCTCTCTCTCTCTCTCTCTCTCTCTCTCTCTCTGTCTCTCTCTCTCGTGATCTATATCATGGGCTTTGTTAATATAGTCGGATCATATGATGTTTCTCCCCTCTATACTCTTGTTGTGATGAATTGAATCTTTATCCTTCAAAGTTTTGTCTTGTCGGATTGAATATTCAAGGATGAGAACACATGATATATGTCTTGCAATATGAATACTTGAGGTGACAATGAGGTATCTTATTGATTGACTTGATATGTGTTATGGCATTCAACTCCCGGATTCCCGCGATGATATTGGGGTAATCTATACATAGGGGTTGATGCACGTTTTTCTCCGACGGAAACTTTGGGGTCTCTTTATAGTTCTTTGTGTGGATTGAGTATTATGAATATGAATTTGCTTTGGTGTTATTATAGTACGCACTCTAGGATAGATCGAACGGAAAAAATAGCTTTGTGTTATTTTAGTACGAACTCTTGAATAGATCGAACGGAAAGAATAGCTCTGAGGTGGTTTCGTGACCTACAAACAATTCCTATCTTCTGTTCTCTGCTAATAGGAACTCGGGAGTGATTCTTTATTGCACTTTGAGGGATAATCATATGATCCAACTATGTTAGCATTGTTGAGAGGTTGCACTAGCGAAAGTACGGACCCTAGGCCTCATTTTTAAGCATTGCAACACCGTTTTTGTGCCCGTTTACTATTTGCTACCTTGCTGTTTTTATTTATTCACATTATGAAAATATATTTCTACCATCCATATTACACTTTTATCACCATCTCTTCGCCGAACTAGTGCACCTATACAATTTGCCATTGTATTGGGTGTGTTGGGGACACAAGAGATTTCTTGTATTTGGTTGCAGGTTCGTTTGAGAGAGACCATCTTCATCCTACACCTCTCACGGATTGATAAACCTTAGGTCATCCACTTGAGGGAAAATTAGTACTGTCCTAGAAAACTCTGCGCTTGGAGGCCCAACACTTGTCTACAAGAATAAAGTTGCATAGTAGACATCAAGCTCTTTTTTGGCGCCGTTGCCGGGGAGGTGAGTGCTTGAAGGTATATCTTTAGATCTTGTAATTGAATCTTTTAGTTTCTTGTTTTATCACTAGTTTGGTTTATAAAAGAAAACTACAAAAAATGGAATTGAGGTTGCAGCATATTATTGATCATCTTTATAATATCTTTCTTGAAAATCATGGTTCGGAAAATTGTGCTCAATTGATAGAAGAAGAATTTAATAAAATGATTGGCATGAATGATGAGCATGATGGGAATGTTGTTAGTATGAATTCTTTGAATATCCATGATGCTAATGATATGCAAAGCCATAAGCTTAGGGATGCTATGTTTGATGAAGATGATATTTTTAGTCCCCCCAAGATTTGATATGCAAATTTGTTATAATGATTGCATGCCTCCTATTTATGATGATTACAATGATGAAAGTGGGTTTGGAACAGTGTCAACTCTAGGTAGTAGTGAATCCACTATTTTGGAGGAAGTTGAAATTGACTATGACAACAAAGTTCCTATCTATGATGATTATGGTGATGACATGTATGCTATAAAGAATAATGATAACCATGAAACTTGTCATCATGATTTTAATTTTCACTCTCATGATAGTTATTTTGTTGAGTTTGCTCCCACTACTATTCATGAGAATAAATTTGCTTATGTGGAGAGTAATAAAATTTATATGCTTGTGGGGTCATGAAAAGAATCTTTATGTCATACTTATATCATTGAATTCATTCATGATGCCACTGAAAATTAATATGAGAGAGGAACATATACTTTTACATATCTCAGTAATATCAAGTTTCCTCTCTATGTGATGAAAGTTTTGAAGTTATGCATGTTTTGGTTCCCTATGCTAGTTGACTCTTGTTCCCATGAATTATTTTCTCACAAAATCCCTATACATAGGAAGTGGATTAGGCTTAAATGTGCTAGTCATATGCTTCATGATGCTCTTGTTATGTTTCAATCTTTATCTTTTATGCGAGCATCATTGAAATCATCATGCCTAGCTAAAAGGCATTAAAGAAAAGCGCTTGTTGGGAGACAACCCAACACTTTTGCCTACTGTTTTTGTATGTTCACATGATTAGGCTACTGTAGTAATTATGTTTTATTGTCTTTGTTTCAATAAAGTGCCAAGTAAAGCCTTTGGGATCATGTTGGGTGATAGTTGATTTGATCTTGCTGAAAAACAGAAACTCTTGCGCTCACGAAAATAGCTCTCATTTTTAACAGAAGAGTGCTTTTGAGTTGATTCTTTTTGCAGAAGATTAATATACAAATCCCCTGGACGCATCTGAAGGAACATGGTGCCCTCATGTGTGCTTTTGTTAATTGATGACATTGTCTATGGACTAATGGTTGCTTTGAGGTATATTCACATGATCCATAAGTATTTCTTGAAGTCCATTTGTTGGTTTCAATG